GCGGGGTGTGCAATCGCAATAAATTCTAGGCTTCTTATTACTGCTAATGTTAGGAAATTCAGAGCCAGAGGTATTACAGTAGTTTGGTTTCTTTTCTTGTGATGTATTCAGACAATGCTTTCGCTTTTTGTGCAGGCCATGATGACAATCACTTGGTGCATAGCCACGATAGCCTTTCACATTGCAGTGAGTGTTTTGTGCCTAAATTATTTCTTTTGTTTGGCAGGAATGACATTGCTTGGTACTGTAAAGTATGATTTCTGGTACATACATGGGCAGAGTATTCACCTTTTTGTCACTGATGTAAATGTTTTCAGCATTAGCTCAGTGTTCTCAGTTTCTAACTAATGAGGTGTTACTGTATATAAATGATAGCAAAAGTGACAGAGCTTTATTCCATACTTGGCAAGTGTCCCAGACTTCTACCATTCCTTCCCATTGTACGGATGGCAGGAAGATTTCCCTGAAATCAAAATTTCTGAGAGCGATCTGGCCAACTTGAAAAACTCCCTCCCAATCTGACCCATCTAAACCAATCTAGGAGTCCTTAATGTAAACATACAATAATATTGATAATATCTCTGTTTTTCAAACACTTTACCGCGTCGCAATGGGTAATATGATCATTGGTACCGAAACTGTCGAGCTATGGCTGAGAGCAGCATGCTGGATGCTTCAAAAATAAGTGCAAGGCCAGCAATACACGTCTAGAACTGCGTCTATTACCACTGTTTATTACCAAATATTTCCTGCATGTGTCTCAGTTTGAAAACCGATATTGCTAGTTATTTTGTACCTAATTTGGGGTGAAACAAATATTTTTGCTTATCCATTAGATTTGTGTAACCAAGAGCTACCTGTAGTTGGAAACCCTGCCTGCATTGCTTATAAGCCATCGTAAGACCACAAAACTGATGTTTGCGCTTGCGAGGCAGTTCGGTACCCCCTCCCCACTTTCTTGGATGTTTTTTTTAAGTGGGGGCAGGAAAAGGGTGAGGCAAATTAAACCCCCCCCCCCATTTTCTGTTTTGGAAATCTCCCAGATTCAGATTTTTTGAACTTGGCAGGGTTATCCTATTTGTGTGAACACCAAGTCAAAAGGTATACAAACAACATGCAGAGGAATGACTATAGCAGTAAAGAATAACAGAAATCTGTCAATAGCATTTAGCAGGTCGTAACAATCGTTAGTTTTTCCCTTAAATTACACCATTTGGAAGGGTTTGAAAAAGGTTTCTTCAACTAAGTTTAGATGTAGAAGTATTTGCTGAAGTGTGTTTTTATTCAAGAGATGGAATTGGCCACAATGTGCATTGTTTCATTTTTAACCAATTTTGCAGACCAGCAGCAGCAGTCAGCAGCAGCAAGGGCGATGGCACCCACTGCACCCACTGACCTCTACCGTGTTTTTCATGGCCAGGTGACATTGCACATGTATTAATTATTCAGATTAGAATTAGTACAACCACCTCAAATATGGGTGGTATTAAAAGTTATTTCTCACTCCTCCCCTTTTTTTATGCTTGTTTAGTGAAAGATATCGTCAGTTTCGAAAATTGTCGTGGTTTCATTGCTGCACGCCAATGTGCACAGGTGACGGTAAATGTCAACAAACTACTTAAATAATGCCTACATTACTACATATAGCATACAAGCAATGAACATTTCCTACTGAAGCCTGCTTTTGTTTACGCATGTTAGCTATTTGCATTCTACTGGTTCTGTAGCTCTAGGCAGGCAGGTTTATGCTATAATGTTTATTCCTGATTAACTATTGGCTTATAGATGGGTATATCTTCTGGAAATAACTGATATTTTTTTATTTTTATGTAGGTCAAAATTGGCCAAAACACATTCATGGCTTTAGAGAAATGAGAGCGCGTCATGCCGAACACGAGTGACGGGAAGTTCTGCCTGGAGCTGGCTCGGCCCTTCTGGCCTACAGCTGAAGCTGCCAAACGCAGCTTCACAGGTCAGGCATGCCGGAGCCTATCCACAGGCATAATGAAGCTTCAGGCCACCCCTGAAAAAATGGAGATGATGGAAGGTAAGCAACTTGCACATTATCGTAAGCATTATTGCGTTGCAATGCACGTTGTTTCGCTGTTTAACGCGAGTGGTACTGCACGTTCGACGCCTGCTCATAGGCCTCCCAACCTTTCACAAGAGACGCTGCACCGCGCGCAATTTGCTGCCTTTCTAGCAAAAACTAGTCGCTTAGTACCCGCTCCCACCTTGTGCGTACACTCTCTCAGCACGTTCATGCGCTATGCACATTATGTTTTCTGGGCACCCGGCACGTGCAGCGTCAACTGTAACTTGCTCTGAAGGTTTAAAAAACATTTCCACAGTGTGAATATAACCAGAATCGAGAGCGACTCATTGACAACCTTTGCGGGACCAAGCAAGTCAAACACGTTGTGGCGAACACTGCGCACAAACCTGCGCAGCCTCTTTCTCGTCACTGATAAGCCCGGTGTGACACGGCCACTTGCTGCAACAAGCTTGGTCTCCACAATGTCTTTAAGGGAGTGCTATGTGCATGCCGATGGTGAACAGCCGCATTTATATGACTATAAATGTAATGTGACACCACGAATCCTATATGTATGTTAACTGATGATGATGATGGTGGTAGATTTTAGTGGCGCAAGGGCAACTCAGGCCAAAGAGCGCCAAACACAGGGTTTTTCGTTGGTTCAATTATAGAAAAAAAATCTCAGTGTGGCAAGAGTAAAAGAGTGGGGCATAGAGATTAAACTTAAATGCAATGACTATGTGTGATCAGTTTAAAATGGTCTAAACCTATGGGTTTTAAAGTCACGCAGTGGCGGCAGTGGTCCTTGTCAGGACAAGGAGTGCGTACTGCATGACATCTGGTAAAGAAGTCTCAGCGTTTCTCTCAAGATTGAGAGAAGGCTGAGGCTAGTGAGAATATGTAATTAAGTGCAGGAATCCGACATCAGCTAAGAACTTTAAAACTACTTTTATGGGAAACATGGGATCGTCCCCAAGAAAAAATAAAGGGTGAGGCGGTATGTGGCATTTGCAGAGCTTTGGAAGTGATGCAGTCTTTGTGGTTCAAGGTACGGGCACATAATTAAAACGTGAAGTACAGATAGCACATCACCACACTTTTCACAACACGGTGCAGGAGAGTTGCTTAAAAGGTGCGAGTGTGTTGCATGTGTATGACCAATCCTGAGTCTACACAGTGCAACTTCTTGATGCCTGTTACGTTTTTCAGGAGCATATCTACCTATTCTTGGCTTTACTTGTGTGCAATTTGTTTTCAATTGCTGCATTCCATTCATCTTGCCATTGCTTACGCATTCAGTTTCTGATTAGCGGCCTCAAGTCCTCATATGGGATGACGGCTACGTCTACTGTTGGGCGGAGTGCAGCGGACTTCGCAAGTTGGTCCGCTGCCTCAATGCCAGCTATGTTGCAGTGTCCCGGAATCCAGCATAGCGTGATTTTCAGGTTGGATCTGTAGGCTGACATGAGGCAGTTTAGAAGGGTATTAGTCACTGGATTTTTATGTGTCTTTGCGGAAGACAACGCAGTCACTGCACTGAAGGAATCTGTGTATATGATGGAGGCTGGTTCTTTCTTCTTTAAGATGTGCCTTACAGCTAGCAGTATGCCATAGCACTCAGCAGTAAATATGCTGGTATGTTCATTCATTGTTGCAGATTCAGAGTACGCTGGGCCGTATGCAGCACATGCGACGGCCGAGGACTTGGAAGCATCAGTGTAGTACTCAGCACACCTGTATTTTGCCTGCAAGTACATGAAATGCTGATCGATTGCGATTGGGAGGCCATGCTTTCCTACCTCTAGGAATGACAAGTCGCAATTGATAGCTCGCATTTCCCATGGTGCCACAGTGTCCTTGTGGGAACTTAGTTGAAGATTGGAGAAAGGTATATTAAGATTTTCAAAGTGTGAGGCCACTCTAAAGGAATACGTTGGCGTGGCTGATGGTCGCCTCAAGAACAGATGGGCGTTTGATGTATCCTGCAATAGCTCGCGAGATGGGTGGTCGACATGAGAGAGCACCTTGGTTGCATACTTGATGCTTGTGAACTGCCGTCGTCGTTCTGATGACCACCGATCTGTCTCAACATACAGGCTGGCTATTGGGCTGGTTCGGAAGGCGCCACTAGCCAGACGAAGCCCATGGTGATGCACTGGGTTGAGCATCTTAAGTGTGGATCTCGATGCTGATTCGTACACAACCGAGCCATAATCAATACGTGAGAGCACTACACTACTGAGAAGGTTTAATAGACAGTCCCGATCTGTACCCCATGTATGTTAACTGGTAAAACGCACATTTGCTGTGGCAGTTACATCTTCTCGGAGCTGTCGCCATTCCATCACCACTCTTTTGCGTGCGCTTGTATTTAGCACTCGGACTTTGATTGCTTGAATGCGAAGTATGTCGGGCGGCGTTCAATTTCTTAGGAAGTCAGTGTGAAGAACAAAAGCTTAAGTCAGCCCTGTTGAGTCGCTGGCACCATTGCAATGAGCAGTGTTCATTTTCACAAGAGTTTTGTTTTGTCGAGATTTTTATCAGGTGTTAACTACGTCGTATCGTAAGTTCAGTGCCATTTTGGAATGTTTGTGCCCATAAT